TAATATTGCAAAATACACCGAAGATAATTGGGAATCTTTAAGACACGAATGGGAAGCTTACGCTAAAAGAGATACTTGTTTGATAAAATATAACAAAGTTATGAAAGATGTTGTATTCCAGAATATTTCCAATAATCTAACGGCTCCTTTATCTTTAATGGGTTGGTATTATTTGTATCATTACCATAAAGAAATGGTTGAAGAAGAATGGTATGAAACTACTAGAATGGTTCCGAAACACACCGAAAAAGAAAACGTGGAAAAAGTTTACTCACATACACACCCTTTTATAAGATATTTTATCAGACAATCCATTAAAGGAGGAAGAGTTTCGGCGAATCTAAAATCATTTGAAACGAACAAAATGGATGAAATTTGTAATGTATTAAATGAATACACAGAAACACCAAGTGGTAATATAATTGATTTATTTAAAGAATATAGTAAAAGTAAAAAAGATAAAACGGAGGTTCATTCGAGACTTAAAAAAATAAAATGTACTAAACTAATGGTCTTTGATGCTAACGGTTTGTACGCTTCCGCCATGTCGGATTTAGATAGCGAATATACGAGAACGGAAAGTGGTAGACCATTTCTACAAGAAGGAAATAAAGAATTTGTTAAGCTCTTTAATGAGCAGAAATTCAGACCTAGAACTGCTATTTTAAAAGTCTGGTTTGAATATCCTACCAAGATGTTCTTCCAACCCATACCAGCTAAAGATAAAATCAGTTTTACGAACAAAAAAGGTTCAGAAATGGTTTCTGTTCAGAAGTTTTAACATCGGTCGATATTCAAGAAATAGTGAAAGCCGGTGGACGAATTTTTAAAATATTAGATGGTGTAGTATACGAAGGATATAACTACATAGAGACATCTATGGAGTGAAGCGACTTTAAAAGCCAACTTTGATTCACACGTCAAAAGCTTTCCTAAAGTAAATGAGACTCAATATATCGTTGAGATAAATGAAGAAGAAAAAGAATTTGACTGTACACCTCGTAAATCTACACGACTATACACGACTAACGCCTAGTCATTTGGGGTCATTCGTATTATCTCACAGTAAAAAAATAATGAATAATTTTATTCACGTCATAGATGGATTTTATAAGCCGGAAATATACTATACCGATACTGATAGTTTATACATTTCGTCTAGCAATTGGGATAAATTAAATGAAGCTGGGTTGGTGTCCGAAAATGATTATTGTAAAGGAAAGAATGATTACGGTGATGGTGGAATTATATATGGTTTATATACAATATCATTCTAACTTCCGACGGTATTCTAAAAGAAAAGAAAACGTTTAAGGGTTACTCTAATGATAAGATAGCTGTAGAAGATTATATTCGATTAGCTAGTGGACATGATGTAACGAATGAATTTAAGAAACCATGGGTAAAAAGTTTCACCAATGGAGTAGTTATTCCAAAGGATGATGATAAACAAAAGAAAGTTTTTAGAAGTTATCTGAATCTCGTTAAGAGAAAAGCAACGGACGATGAAGGAATCATGTATCCTTATGGTGATAAAGATGACTTGAGTGTGGATGAAAACTACGAATTTGATGATTTCGATTACCTTACTATTCAAGAAGAGAATGAAGAGTTTTAAATGAAGTTGAATAACAATTTCCTCATACCAAAATCTATAAACCTATTTTTACCATCTTTGATTTCCAGATTTATATCTTTAATCATAAAGGAATTAAGTGGTGAATACGCCGTTTGAAATGGTTTCTCTATAATTCTATATCCTACCGGAACGGTGAATGTTGGAAGACTGTAAATAATCTGACGTTTGTATTTATTGAAAATCCACCGTTTATTAAATTGCAATGTATATTTATCACATCGATATCATTCTCGATATTAGCTTTGTGTGGTGCTAAAGTGGATTGCGTGTATATTTGTTTATCAAATCCTAGTAACGCATTCAATGAATTTTCTACGTTGAAATCAACTTGACTATTATTTCTTAATATCAATTTTATTTTATTCAGATTCAAATTACCTTCGAATTCAATATTGTTTTTACCGCTCACGCTTCCTCCATATTCAGATAGGTATTCGTTAATGGCTATGTATTCGTAGCTTCCTGGTAGTAAACGTATGGTTTTGAATGTAACTCCATTATCTGTTGATATTTTTATTTGGTTATTTTTTTCGTTGATATTTCTAATGGAATTGTAAACAGAAATACTTTAATCCCAATTCATATTCTTGATTGCGATCGAGTTCGTACTCATAATCTAGAGACAATTTAATTTCTGATTTATTTGAGGTGATAACGAATAGTTGTTCTTTATTTGACATTTTTAATCACGCTTTTATAATCATTTTTATCTATAATACCTTTTTCTAGGAGTCTTTTTAATATACAATTCACTTCATTAAATTGTCTGTGTGATCGATGTCCTTCATGCATTGCCGCTAATATTACTCGTAATCTATTAAGTAGTTCCTCGATGTTGTCGGATAAAAACGTTATACCTTGTCCAGATGCCACCATATCATCGAATTCATCTATTTCTCTTGTGATTGGATAATCTTCTGTATAATCATCTACCTCCTCTTCATACGTAT